CAAACTGGGCAGGGGGCTTCTTCCCCTTGTCCGCTGCCCCCCACCCTCGTTTTCCCCCACCATCCCTGTCCTCGCTTTGTTTAAAGAAATCTCGAGGGTTGGAATCGCTGTAGCGGAGTGGGGAGGACAAGGGCTAACGGGGATCCTGGGCACAGAGCTGGGGAGGACAGAAGGAATTGCCGCTGAGACATCTCGCCAGAGATCCCCGCAGGGCGAAGCTCCACAGAGCTTTAATCTTGAATGTATTGAGCCCTCCGCCGCAGCAGGCGATTTTCTTAAACCTTCTTCTAGGTTTGTCCGTCTGAGTGAGAGTGCGACATATTTTTTTTTTGCTTTTTTTCCGGCGCTTGAGGGTGGGAAACAGATGGCCCTTTGCAGACGGGGCTGTACCAGGGCACTTAAGTCGACTTGCCATCTTATATCAGGTTGCATTCCCCCCCCCTCCTCTATGCTTTTCTTCCCAGGCGGTTTCAGCAAGTTCCAGGCCGAGTTCGCCCTCCACTGCGAAACTAACCTAGACAGTTCGTGTAGTAGCAGCTCTCCTCCTTTGCCAGTTCTGGGCTTGGGAGGCCTCCGAATCAGCTCCGATTCCTCATCAGACATTGAATCTGACATTGACAGAGACCCCAATAGTGCCACCGACTCCGATGGCAGCCCTCTATCCAACAACCAGCCTTCCTTCCCGGTGGAGATTTTACCCTACCTCTACTTAGGCTGTGCCAAGGACTCCACTAATCTGGACGTTTTAGAAGAGTTTGGCATTAAATACATCTTGAATGTGACCCCCAACCTGCCTAATCTCTTTGAAAACGCCGGCGAATTCAAGTACAAACAGATCCCGATCTCTGACCACTGGAGCCAGAATCTGTCTCAGTTCTTTCCTGAGGCCATCTCCTTTATAGGTGAGACACGGTTATTTGCCAACAGCTGCATGTCAAGCGGCAGAATTCAATTTCATTTGCAGAATTCAGGAGATTTCGGGCGAGAAGCGTTAGCAGAGTTTCTGGCAGTCTCTGGGGGATGCCCTGCTTTCTGGTTTTAAAGCCGGTTTAAGTTGAGGGGCGGGTGGGGATTGTCTGGGGGAGGCAGGTCATTGAGGAGCCCTGGTGAATTCTAAGCAAGGTTTGCAGGTTGCGAACGCATACCTGGTTGGGCTGGGTTTGGGATTTCTCCCTGAGCCGTTTTGCTGGGATGCGCAGGACTTAAGATCTTTTTAAATCTCTTTCTGGCGGGCGGGGGGAGGTAAATAAACCCGGGGTTGATGGTTTATTCATTTAAAAAAAATTTTTTTTGGTCTTGTTGGGTATTTTTTTTTTTTCTTCTTTCTTGGGGTTCCTGAAAAGCAGTATAAAAGCGATCTGGGAAGCTAGCATTTAAATACAAGTTATTAATAAGTAGTATCCCTGGCAAATGTATAGTCAAGAGTTCTAATTAAACCTTGTGGTAATAATGATATACCTCTCGGGCTCGGTGCCTTGGTTTGCCAGCCCTTAAGCATAATCTGTCAGTTTTGGAAACATGTCCCCTTGGGGTGAAGTTCTGGTTAAAATTTCCACTTCGTTTCGGGGAGGACTAAATCCACCCCATCGGGGTGCGGTGAGGTGGGCATGGTATTATCTGTTGGGAAGCCGTGCTGTAATCCGGTTGAATGATACCGGTAATAGTGGAGAATGTAGGTAATCTGAGCCCAGCAGGAAGAAATGTGGGCTGGAAGCCACAAAGAAACTAATCTCCAGGCATTGTAATGCATTTCCTATTACAAAGGAACCCATTTTCAACCAATGTTGACATCCTGTTCCTCCTAATGGGCTGTCCCCTGTGACTTCCCTCATTCTTTTAAAATGCCTGAATACCTCCATTGTTAGCTGCACAACAGTTGGAGAATAATTTAATAGACCTTTGCAGTCTGCTGGTCTGTATAAAAGGCATTCAGTGACATATTGCAGGAATTCCATGCTGGGGCAAGGAGACTGTAAGAATTTAAGGCAAATCTCCAGGCAAAATCGTGTCTTTGAAAACTTGACTTTTAAAACAGTGTCATGCAGTGTATCCTGCTTCCTTTACCTCGTTCTTAGTTTTCTCAGCTCTTAGTACATAAACGTAAGGGGGTGGATTTTCCTCTTGTCCTGGTTTTAAGCCGGCAAAGTTAACTCTTGCGTTGCTGTCCTGGCTGCTGGGATCAGAACCGTCCTTTCTCCCTACTTGATGTTAATCTCATTTGTCTTGAGAGATCAGTTACCAACCCTCTGTCCTTCTCTGTTTCTGTACAGATGAAGCACGGGGGAAGAACTGTGGTGTCCTGGTGCATTGCTTAGCAGGGATCAGCCGCTCGGTCACAGTGACGGTGGCCTACCTCATGCAGAAGCTCAACTTGTCCATGAATGATGCCTACGATATTGTCAAAATGAAGAAGTCCAACATTTCACCCAACTTCAACTTCATGGGTCAACTGCTGGACTTTGAGCGGACCCTGGGCTTGAGTAGCCCGTGTGACAATCGAGTGCCGAACCAGCAGCTGTACTTCACCACCCCTTCCAATCAGAATGTCTTCCAGGTGGATTCCCTGCAGTCCACGTGAGCTCCCACTGCCTCCCTTCTCCTACCCGTTTCATGGGATCACTCCTCATTGGTATCTCTTTGGCAGTGATAAAGAAAACGCAGCTTTCTCTTTTTTCTGGCCTCTGCTATCAAAAAGCGCTGCCAGAGCAGGCTAGGAAAGGTTACACAGTACGGAATCGGCTATTGCGAAGGGAGGGAAGGTGATCAGCTCCCTGGGAAGGACAGCAGTGCCCAGGCAGCAGGTGGGCAGCACGATCATCCCAGCTTGTGCAGTGGCTCTGGTCCGAGGGCTTCCGGGGGGGTAGGGAAAGGCTGGACAGGCTGAGCACGTGTTCCCTAGAGACTGAAACCGTCCTGCTTCCCCACTCTCTACTTGCGGATCTGTGACATGCATCTTTGTCTTCAGTGAAGACTGGTTATTTTTGTTTGCTTGTTTGAATTTAGAGGAGCCAAAGAAAGAGATTTCAGCTTAGTGTATTTGGAGTACTTGTTTGCCGGGAGCTCAGTAGTATTCTACTTGATCAATGTAAATATTTAATCTTAAATCGGTTTGCAATATTTTTTAATTCACATGTATTCAAGAAATCAATCCAAGGGACATCCATGGTTTTGTTCTCTTCATAAATTCTGCTTTTTTCTGTTTGGTCTTTTTTTTTTTTTTTTTTTTTTTTAATTGCAAAGAATATATTTGCAGCATGCTTAATTTTGTTCAACTGAAGCAAACTTTCCATGAGGGAGAAATGGCTATGGTGAGAAGTTTGCAAATCATGTTTTATGAGCAAGTACACTCTCTTCTTTCATATATCTTTCTTTTTCTTGTGGTGATTTTATTTTTTCCCCTTCATGCTCTTGATGTAGTTTCCACATGATATATATATATATATTTTTAAATTAAATTAATTTTTTGCCTTACCTTTTGTAAATAGATCATCTGGGAGGAGGTTTGTCTTTGAATGCGAAAGATTTTTTGATCACTTTTTAAAACTTTCAGATGTGCTAAACAGTGCATTACCTCTGTACAAATTCTTCAGGGAGCTTCACCTCAAATGCAATATTTTGCGTCTTTTTCTTTTTTTTTTCCTTTTTTTTTTCTTTTTGTATAAAACTGGAAGTACGTGCGAGCATTTGTACCTGTGTGTACGCACAGTGAACCTGCACATGGTTGCCAATAAGGGAGAGTCTAATTCACGGTGTAAAAGTTTTAAGATGGAATTTATTATAAGAATGTAAAACCTTAAATTATTAATAAATAACTATTTTTGACTATTGAGAACCTGGCTGGTTTATTCCCCCCCCTATTTCCTCCTCTGTGTGGGTGTGGTTAATTACACATACACATATGGTTATGTTTAAAGGTAATGATGGCCTTCAGTAGCTTATGTACAGCCCCTAGGACAATAAAGCCTTGATTTTTCTCTTTGGTCCTCTGGTGCCTAAATGAAAATAGTGCATGTGCTGGATTCTTGTCTTTTCGTTGATGAAGGGAATGCTTTTGAACGCCTTTAGGTTAATTGCAAAATATTCCAGCATCCCTTTGCTACCCCAGGGTGCACCTGACTCTGGGTGGGCCATGAGGATTTTAAAATTATTTTTCTGTAAGAGTAAAGAGCTGCTGTTTTTCTGGGTTTGTTTACAAGTTTTGGCCACTCTTATTATAGATACCAGGAGATGGGTTTGTGCTGTCCTTACCTGTCTGGCAGGAACTCATTTCACAGAGATCCATCAACAGTCTGCAGACTGTAAATTATTTTTCTATTGCTGTTCAGCCACGTTGCAACTTAGCAGGTGAAGGGAAGGAGGAAAAGCCTCTATATACCCTGTCACCTCACTTCCTCTTTAGACCCTTCAAGCAGTCCTGTCTCTGCAGAAGGAAAAAGGGGGATAATAAGCAATTGCAAAACTTCCTGCTGCAACTTACTAACATCCTTCCTGATGAGAAGTGGCCCAATATAGGGTGGTGTTAAAGTCTGCGTGCAGCACCAGGGTGATGGGCTGATGCTGCAGCTGGGGCTGTCGGCTGGGGTTCTGCAGAACTCCTGGCAGCCAGAGCCCACTTCAAGTAATTTTAGAAACTGCAAGTGTGTGAAATGAAAAGCAAACAAAACATGGGAAAAAAGTGAGTCAGTGTCTCATGCAGTAGTGGCCTAGATTGAGTGCATAAACTGTGAAAGTAGAAAAAGTAGAAGTGGGTTGCAGTTAAACTTGGCTTGTGCTAATCCAGTTTTGAACGGTTTCCGCTCTTGGCATTCCCTCTGCTGCTCTGTTCAAAGTGGAGATTTGCAAGCAGCTCTAGCAATTTCCTGTCCAGCTGCAGCTCAAGTGACTCCCTTGTTATTTTTTTTTTTTGTGGGTTTGTTGTTTTTTTTCTTTTTTTTTTAATATGGTCTGTGGATAATTTTAGCCAGTTTCCTCTTTGTGGATTATTAATCTGCTTTCCTTGTAGAACCTACATAGCTGCGTCCCTACTATTCTGCTGAAGTCAACAGATGGCCTCCCTGCCACTTCCTCTCGTTTCGCTGTGGGTTTGTTGTCAGGCCACTTCTGAAATTAATAGTGTTTTCTGGCCGGCTGCCACAGGCCATTACCGCAAAGGGGAAGTAACACATCTGAATAGCAGGAAGCTGGGCAGGGTCACAGCGTGAACTGAACCTGTTGAGTGCAATCGGGCCTCTCCCGTTCAGCAAGTGTAGGGCTCCTCTTTCCTCCCCCTTTTTTTCTAAAACGCCTTGCACAGAGAAAGGGCTGAGGCGAATGCCTCAGCTGTTTGCACCGGGCACATATTTCCGGCTGAATGAGTTGCAAGTGTTAATTGTGACTAGGTGCCCCTTAAGGTGAGGAGGTAAAGAGCAGTGTGCAGCTCTGCAGCCTAGGGGAGGAGGGCCTTGGCTTTCTTTGCAAGCTGCTTTGAAAAGTTAGTGCTCACAAGGGCTTCCTGCTTCCTTCCTGCTTCACTGAATGACTAACACCACATGGGTACTTATGCAGTTCATCATTTTTCGGGACAAGCAGGCAAAGACCAGCTTTGCTTACACACACACACACACACACAGAGCAGAATAAGGCAGAAAACTTATTGCAGATTTTTCCTTGAGTGAGGCCTGAACCAGGGCTGTTACTCAGAAACCTTGGCTGAACTTGAACTAGAACTGGGTGAGGAGAACTTTGGTCACAGGCAAACCCAAACTAAAACAGGAGCCAAACCAAAACCTGATTCAACCTCTAATTTTGGAGGGAGGATGGAGTGGGGGGGAGGGCAGTGTTGACACTGATCTGCTGGGTCATCCTTAAAAATGGTTTGGAGGGAAAAAGCTGTGAGGGCTCTCACCAGCAATGTTCACCTTCCCCATACAGGCTCTCAGGTAAATCTGCCCCAGCATGGTGGAAGGAACTTGACAGCTTTTCTGAGGCTGGGCTCTGCTTCTCCTGCAGTCCCTCTCAGCACTTGTTTCAAAATAACTCTATTCCTCTGTCTCTTCTCTTGTTTCAGTCCTTGCTGGGATGGGGCAGAGGTGTTGGGCTTCTGAGGGGTTTGGCTGCTATTGCAGTTCCTCAGCTGGTAAAGTAATTTGTAAAGGGAAGAATAAATCCTTTGTGCCTGTAGGGACAGGCCTGTTGTGTACAGGGGAAAGGGGGTGAATATCCCCCATTTGCAGCTAAAATAATCACAACCTGCTTCATATTATAATATGAGTGAGAGGTACTGAATTCGTTCAGAATTTATGGAGATAACAGGAAGGAAAACTGTACTCTCAGAACTTTCTCACAAGAAGTCATCAGAGCTTTCTCACACAACCCGTCTCTGTCTTTAACACAAAGGGTGAAATTGTGTCCAGTGGCATTCATGTCCCCTTTGCTCTGGTGAGGCCAAGGTCCCCCTCGGTGTTTGAGGGCACATTAGCACTTTGCTTTCCATTTTCTGTGCAGTAACATCTTGTGCTGGTTCCCCTTTTTGCATTTCCTCTTTCCCACTCACCCTTTCTAACCACACATTCAAATTGCCTTCCAACTTTTCCTGGGTTTTCTTGTTGCAGTTGCGGCCATAATTGTCTTACCCTCTCGCTTTTCCTTGTTACTCTTGGTCTCATGTTTCCTAAATCAGCTCCACTTTCTCCCAGCCTTAAGCTTCCTTGCTCCTCTTTGTTTTCACAGTGAAAAACAGGATGACTCTTATGGACTCAGTTGTAGTGAGCTACAGGAAAGGTGTATAAGAGGGGAAGAAGTAAGTAAATACCACTACTGTCCTCTTGCCACTTCCTAGCAGATGACCTATGCCCTATCTCCATTCCTTGTCGCTGTGTGGATTTGGCGCCACGTGGCTTCCCTAGGTCCTCTCTAAATAGTACCCAGTGCTCTGCCACTGTTAAGAGGGAAGGCAGGTGTGAGGAAGCTGCCTTTTTTCGGGCCCATCCAGCATTAGAGGGCACCGCTCCCCTCCAGGGCAGTGAGGAAAGCAGGGAGAGACTGAAAATGTGGCTGCCAAAGGCAGCTTTGCTAGTAAAACTGAAGCCAGGCTTAACAATCGTGTCTGGAGAGCATTTCTTCAGCTTCTCTGGAAAGCTTATTCCAAAAAGTTTTCCCTGTTGAGAAGTGTGATGACACTCTATTCAGAGCTCTAAGAAAAAGGATAGCATGTGAAGATTTAAATGAGGCTACAGCTTAGGCCCTCTATCCACACTGCTATAAATCACTGAAAGCTTTGCCTGAGTGAAGGTGGTGGAACAAATTGCTAAGCTCGGTTCAGTGCCCCCTTAGACCTTGAGTGTGCGTGTTCAGCATTGCTCAGTTACCCCAGGAAAAAAAGTATGGGGTCAGACTCCTTCGTCATGCGGCAATGCATGAGTGACTCCTGGGACTTCAGTGAGGTGCTACAGTCAATGAAGGTGGCTGATTTTACTCCAGAGACCTCATAGCCAAAGGGAGCAAAAGGCTGCCCATCGGTGTTTTCTCATGGCATGTGGTGACACTGGGGTACACAACCTCTGCCTTTTTCTCCCATGACCAACAGCCAGAAAGGGGTGG